CCTTTTATTATTAAAATAGCTTCGATATTAAATTGCTACGTTATATTTCTCAGCAACGAGCAGGTAAAATGCGCTGTTTTTGAAGTAACTAAACTCTTAGCTTCATTGTTTGTAGAGAGAGACACGCAGACGCAGGTAATTCTCACACGCAACTGTCATCTCTCTCGATCGATAATTAATTCAAGGAAATGTTATAATTCATTAATTCAGATCTTACCGCACTTCTTCACCTGATTTGTCTTATTTAAAGCTGACAGAATGCTAGAGCTAACGAACCGTAACTGACGAAAATAACCGCCATTTTTACCCTTCCAGTCAAATATTGTGCTGCAAACATCATTAACTTGTCACTGCTGGCAAATGACCATGATAATGATGATGCACGGCTTACATTGCATTAACGATTTTAATGCACTCAGCGGTTCGTTGCCTCCACGTCATGCATTAAAATCGTTTAATGCACAGCTGACCGTGCATTATCCCTTACATAGACTCACCTATAGCTCTAATCTGCCAGATGCAACTATATTATACATTTTAACATCATGATTTTCTGTAGAGCTGCTTCAAAACAATGTGTATTGTGAAAAGCGTTATACAAATACATTTCACTTGACACATTTTGGATAATATTGGACAACTTGGTCTAAGTTAGTCCCAGCCCTTACAAAAAAGTACTGTGATGGTACCTTGGTGCTTGTTGGTCTTTCCTACCACTGGACCAATAATCACAGGAATGCAAAATGATCTACAAAAATTAAATGTGATGTTAAATGTCTTAAGATGTGGAGAAAAGGAAGAACCCCGTGTGTGGGTTTGTCACGCCGCTGGAGGGTTCGGAGGCGGATGCTCACGGCAAACCTGAGGTGAGTCCCACCACAAAGACGGACCAGAAATAATTACACTATTTGAATCAATAAATGAGTTTTAATTTACAAGAGAAGATTTTGATGTTTGACACATGTAAGGCATCACCTGCTGTGTTTAATGTGTTTATTTATGGCATTTACAGGCCATTGTTTTGGAGGGAAGCTACTGGAAGAGACGGATAGAGGTGGTGATAAAGGAATATCACAAATGGAGGATTTACTATAAGAAAAGAGTGAGTAACTGACCAAATATAATGGGACATAATTGTCTATTAGATGCCCAGAACACATTTCGGACACAGATACACTAGCATTCAAAAGTTTGGGGTTGGTAAGATTTTTTTTATGTTTTTGAAAGAAGTCTCTTCTGCTCACCAAGGCTGCATTTATCTGATTAAAAATAGAGTAAAAACAGTAATATTGTGAAATATTATTACAATTTAAAATAACAGTTTTCTATTGTAATATATATGGTCAAATGTTTGATTGCTATGATCAAAGCTGAATTTTCAGCATCATTACTCCAGTCTTCAGCGTCACATGATCTTTGCCTTTACTGTTACTTTTGATCATTTTAATCCGTCCTTGCTGAATAAAAAGCATCAATTTCTTTCAAAAACGTTTTGACGGTAGTGTATACTGTATATTCCATCATTCATTCTCATTATTAAACTCCCAGATAGCGAATTTCTCATAATGAACAAAAATGTAGAAGTTGACTAATACAGGTTTTTTGTTTGAAGTGCTAATGTCTAGAAAGAGATAAATGACCAATATAATGCCAATGTATATAGTACAGCACATGATAGACATAAAATTGCTGAATAATCATTAGTGTGGTCAAAGCTGATTCACTCAAGTCACGATGCAATACGATTCACGATACGCTTTTTTTAACGAAATGAGATTTAAGACAAATTATAAATGAAAAGGTGTCTTTTTATTATTGCTTAGACAAAATGCTGCGCATTTCTTTGTGAATTTGAAATATGACAAACAACAAAACTAATTTGACATTTTAAAACAAACCCCAAATCAAATAAATAAATAATACAAATAAAAGAAATCTCTTCATATAAACAAATTCAGGCTTTGCCTGTGCTCTTTCCATTTAAAATTAGAGGCAACCACTGCATTTGAATCGCTACCCAAACAAAGATGATGCATATATGCAGCATGAGCAGTTTTTAAACTAAATTAGATTGTATAATTTCAAAATCTGAAGCAAAAACACGATTAATCGAATGCGATTGTCATGCGCATTTTGTTAAAAAAGCCGGTTCTGTAATCAGCAGGAAATCATCATCACGTGCTTTCAGATGGAGCAGAATTTACTACACATAGCCGTAGTTCACTGACAAGTAATGCAAAAAAAATACGATTTTATTGCTCGATTCTGAAATCATAAGCGATAATGACAGCTGTTTGCATAGCTTCTCAGTGAACTACGGCTCTGTGAAGTAAATGCTGCTCCATCTGAAAGCATGTGAAAATACCACATTTAATAACATATTTTTACTCCAAACTCACTTCATAACGTCAGTCGAGTGTTTGAAATAAATCCTTCTGTGAGATGATGTGGCTTCTTACACAGAATAAGGCACGCAACATATTTCATAGTATTTAAGCAGTGATAAAGGCATTGCATTATAAATATACTTTATTTTAATGAAAATTATAATAATAAGAACTCAGATAAACCGTATACTGCCGTAGTCATGTGTTTATTAGTCACGTTGAATCAATGAAAGCAGTTGAATCTTCTGTTTATTCAGCTGCAGCGATAGCCATTTTCTGGGTTTCTTCTGCGAGGTATATTTGGAGTTTCAGCGCGAGAGCACCCTCTGGCCTTTGGATGGAGATTTACTGCTGATCACAGAACCGTGCTTCACTGAAAGATACGCATGACAATCGCAGCTTCTGTCGAATCGTGATCTCGGTTCCATTTCGATTTATCGTGCAGCCCTACATTGCATTACAATGGAAATGGTACTTTACAATAAAATAAAACCTTACAATAGGCTCCTCCCACTCATGGGCTGTGTCACCCATCATATTACAGAATATTACAACATTTTAGAATCAAAACTTTCCAATCTTGACAAAACGCATATCGTTGGAAAGGTCTCAAGGTTCCATATTTCGTAGTAATTTTGTCATAGAAGTAGGGTTGGGTATCATTTGAATTTTATCGATTCCTAGTTTCGATTCCAATAAGATAAAAATCCAATCTAAAAAAAAAAACTTAAGTCAGACATTTAGATGTCAAACATGTATTCTGTCTACAAAGCATTCTGTTGCAGCTGAATAACACAAGAACCATCAGCCTACAGAAGAGGAACTTTGCCCATGCTTTTAACAGAAATACCACAGCAAAAACAACTAGACTAATATACATTTGAAATATTAAAGTGTTAAAGACAAGAAAACAGTCAGTAATAAAACAGGAACAAACAAATCAATTAGCAATAGCATAAATACAACTGAACCAAATTTCAGGTACAGAAACTATAATTAAAAGTTTAAAAACACTGCATAGTTTTCTTTTCATAAATAAAATATAGATAATATATTCAGTCAAAATCAGTGTATAATTTTCTTTTGTTCTTTGATTAACATTAATGACAGCCAGCGCATTTATTAGGCTGCTGTCTCTTTAACACCGAACGCACACAGATCTAAAAATACTGTACACGTGCGCTTTCTTTCTCATCTGTTTACGTTCACTTAAGACAAAAACAGCTGTGTTTATGATGACATACTGATGTAGTTTTCTGCTGTTCTGCAGTGAAAATGCACGGAACGGTTCGAGAACGGACACAGGCTGGGAAGCCGCACTGAGACCACGGTTCTCTATTCTGATCTCTGTTCTCTGTAGGGCTGGGTATCGAGTTCGATACTTTTTAGGCACCGACCGAATTGCCTCGATACCATCGAGTATCGAAAAACGTCTTGTCGTTCGGTACCAAATTTCGATACCTAAGGGGTTAATCTCATCAGTGTCAGTGAGCCAATAAGCCTGCAGCACTTGCCGATGTGTTCGACTAGAAGCGGCGCAATGCAGATCGATCATCCCCGACAGCGATTCGAAAGCACACGGAGCAGTATGCTTAGTTTGCTTAGCAGTTTAGCTCTTGTGGTACTGTAATACCACCAGTATAGAGTAGCACGGGAGCTGCGTGGAGTTCCGATCATATGCAGATGTCCGTTCATACTAACATTACACGACCGAAAGCGCGTGTTATGGCTTTTACTCAAAACTCACTTTAAACCACCATCGAGTGTTTGTAATATCTTCCGATTGCCATCTAACAGGGCCTGATTTACGCATTGCTCAAGACATTGAGCAAATAAATATAACAAACAATAGGGTAAAAAAATTACAAACTATTTCCATGTCTTCCACCTTTTTTATGTAGGCTACGGAAATCAGGCTTTCTTTCTCTCAGTCTCTCTCACAGTGCAGACACGCGGAGACGCGAACAGAAACTTCTTGTTAGCGCTGCACCGCGAATTTATCAGTAAAATAGTTTCGCAGTAGCGAATAGTTCTGTGCAGTAGCTGAAAAGCTACATGACATTTCTCAGTAGCGAGGTTCATGAAGGAGTTTAACTTAAAGATTC